CTGTGGAGACAATATGAAGCCTAATTAACTAATCTTTATGTAGACAGTGAAAGTGCATGTGGGAAAATATGATCATGTCATTTTTAGGCAAGTTCACTATCCAATGCTGAAAGACTGCAACACCCACACTCTCGTTTTCTATTATTAGCATTAGCTGTCATTAGATGTGTGTTTTATATTTGCTATATACGTTAAAGATTTGAAGCAAACAGTGCTACATCCATTTTACAAAAGGTGTGCCAGATTAAAAGATAAAAGAGTTAGTCAAACTTTGGTAAAATATTCACCAGAAATTCCCACTCAAACAAGACGATCTTCATTTTTGCAGCTCTCGGCAGTTATTTATTATGCAAAAGAGAAGTGAGCTGAAATGTGCCAGGGTGCCACTAGAAAACTTCAGATTGCTCCACAGAGGAAACTAACATTGCTGTGAGACTTGAAGGGAACATTAATATTGAGGCACCTGTTTCAAGGTTCCTCTTATCTGTGATAGTCCACATGCCTCACACTTGACAGGTGCTTATGCCATTTTGTTCTGCAGGTTAGTCAGGTTTTTCTTTCAGATGAATGATTGCCTGAAGTACTTTTCTCTTGCTTTAACCAATTGGTAGTTATAACTATAATTGACAGTTTTAACTACCAACTGATATAAGTCTTTTTTTTTAACCTGGAAAAATGTGGAGAAAAACCACATTTGCTACCCACCACCCAAAAAAGAGTACTGCTATTACATAAAAAGACAACAGAATAGGCACTTGAGGTGTATTTACATATATGACAGGTCAAGATCAGTACAAACAAACCGGAGAAAAAATATACGAAGCTGGATTCTTCGTATTGTCACTTATTGTGCAATTCTAAAAAAGAATGAAGGAAACAATAACATATCAACCCCAACCCCCGCCGCTGTCCATGTAAGTTGAGTGGAAAAATCTCAGCTTGCTAACATTTTCACTTTCTACTTTGTCTGATCAAAGTATCTGCAGAACTAAAAGTAGCTCACAATCAACCCTGCAGGACTTCAGTTCACAACAAAAATAGCCTATTGTTATTATAGAGATTATTCCACATAGGATAATTAAACTTTTCTGAACTTCTTAAAGAGGCAACCTAAATCAGTGTATGAGGTAGAAAAGCATAACAGACAATGAACTATTGCCAAATTTAAATCTTATGCTGCATGTAACTCAACTATTATTAGATTTCTACGTTGCTAGAGAAAACAGAGATCGTTTAGTTTTGCAGGTTCTCTGTGAGACATTACTACCGTATGTGCAAGTATACCAAATCTAAACTATAATAAAATCTACTAGAAGCATTTCACTGGAGACATCTTGCAATATATACTTCAGAATTGCAATTCTACTTCAAATACAGTATCATTAATCACTCAGTTTTTAAAATAAATGAATCAAGTACACAGGTATCAATAAAGCCTTCACTATCTCTCAAAATCTCACTGTTCCTCTAGTAGAGCATGATCATAAATGTAGATTTTCCCAGGCACATCCTTATTTTTCTATCCAGAAATGTTATCTGGGAAGATTTTGAGAACTCTGATATCAGTCTCCACAGTCTTTACACATCTAGTAGTATCAAAAGTTCTGGTAGCAGTAAAAGCCACTGGAAGATTTTTTAAATTTTTAGATTTTTAAAAATCTAAATATGCCAACTATTACCAGTAATACTACCAGTATTACACATACAACAGCACAGCTGGATTATTTAACTTTTGCTGGCTGATCTGTTGATCTACACATACTCAGCATACCCACTTCTACCAAAAGGGTTGGATACACTCAGCATGATCAGAATGACTGAGGAAAATAATCTGCACTGAATGCACAGTAGGTTTCTCAGAGTTCTGAAACACCCGTCCTACTGTGTATGCATCATCCTCGTTCCATCCAGAAAGACCCTAAATAAAAACACGGGAATTCCAAACAGCGTTATATTGCACATCCTTGAAAAGACAGTTAACAAAGCGACCTGTCACTGAGTACTATTAGCTATCAGCAAAAATCCAGAACTTTTTCTGCCTATGGTTTACTTGATACATAGACAGATAGATACATAGATTCTAACACACTTATTCCATACCTGAAAGAGACTCCATCTGAAGATTCAAGTCAATCAGGCCATTTAATGTAAGCGGATAGCTTTATATCATAGTATGTTCCCGCAGTCCTGCTGCTATTGCTCACTTCCCTCAAAGGGGAGCCACTAGCAGTTAGTTTTGCAGGGGCTCCATCCCCTTCCTTAGCCACTCAAGCTTGGACACAAAAGTCCCCAGCCTCACATGAAGGAAATCAATCTCCTCAGCTCCACAGGATTTGTCATTCCCTAACCTTACCCTCTAATTACATCTACATGCTCCACCCCATTTACATAGCATGGATCAACACTCATTTGGCAGCACACCTCCAACTTGTTGCACGGGATTTACCCCTAGAAGCTATGTAAGTGACATCTAGCTTTGGGCAGTGATATGAAAAATAAATAAGTATTCTTTATTCCGGGACAGTGCGATAACTGTCATGAAGAGGTTCATAAACTGCCTTAACTGCCCTCTCTAACTTCATTGTTTATTTGCTTATTTATTAAAATGAACTTTTACAGGTTTTATATATATATCAAGTTAGAGAAGTCCAGCAAAGTCTGTTTTGCTTTTGTCATTAAACTGCAATGAAATGCAGCTCCCCATTTCCCACTGTTACTTTAGCGAAATCTGATCACAACGGGTAAGTAGGAAGATGGGGGAAGTCATATCACAGACTGAGGGACGAGCGCTTGAAGGCTGAATGGGAAAAGGCTCAAGGAACAGACTTCTCAAATGGTCAAGTGTTAGGAAAGAACCACCCACTAGATGGCTCACATATTCCTCACCATATAAATGAATGCAGGAATATCTGACCCAGCAACCATGGAAATAAAAATCTGTAATGAAAAACATCAGCAAAAAATAACACTCAGAATTAGCCAAGACCACACAGATTTCTGCTGCCATGAGCACTGAAAAATATGCTGGAATTCATACAGTTCTTAGTCTCGATCCCTACCTAGTCCTTGGACTTGTCTCAACTCATACAACCTAGCTTGAGCAACAAGCCACTATGCAAAGTGAGTAGAGGGTTTTCATATTTTTTATTCATTTAAAATGTTTACCTCTTTAGGTAAACATACCCTCATTCACAAGGAAAAGTCCTTCTTTCACTGAAGAGAATTTCAATAAGGCATGATACACACTGTAGGTATCTGCACCTCCTAATATTTTCATTTATATTGCTACACAGAATACTACATAGTAGTATTTTTTATTTTCAGAAATGTGAGATTTTATTCCTTTTACTTTTTTGTGGTTTTTCAGAAATTGCCTTTTGTTTGAAAAGGTAAAACTAAAGAATGTAGAAAACGGCAGTGTGAAGAGACCTTCTTTTAAATTCTTTGCAGAAACATAGATGTATTCATGCAGGCTAACACCACCTGATATATACAAAACTATATACCTATAAAGCAGCAGCATTATACTGTTATTTAAATTTGGCCAGTGCTATAGCTGACCATGTGTTTTATTCCTATACAAATGATCATCTTTATCTCCTTAAACTAACTTCGAAAAGCATACAGACTTAGCAGCAGTGGACTAAACCATATGGAAATAAAATTCTTGTGAATGTAAAGCATCCTGTGTGCAAGTCAGGCTTTCACATCACTTCCACGTGTACACTTTTTTTAATAGCACTAAAAACCCTAAAAGTACAGTAACACTACATAAAAAAAAATCTTCTCTACCATGTGAGCCAAACAATATTACAAGCAACATCCACACGACAGTACAAAACCCTAATATTTACAGTGCACTCCTTTTCCCAATATTTACCTCTTCTAACAATAACTGATATATATATAAAAGGCCCCAGAAGCCACAACTTTTTGAATATCATGCCACCACTGGGCATCATGACTATGAAAATTACTACTATTACAAAGTATATACCCTGCTTAAATGTAAAATATTGCCTTCATTAAGAAACTCATTAGGAAATTAAATTATGTAGAGCTTTATCAAATTAATTGTGCATTTTGTGGGTCATCAGATAAATTTTTCCATTTTGTCATTCAAAGTCCTATTATTCTTAAAATGGGATGCTATAATGAGTATGTTATTGACAGAAATAGCTTCTCAGACTACCAACACTCTACTAGACTGTGATCTTTTACTGTGTGAAGCAGAACATTAATTCTCAAATATGGTGTGTTAATTATCCTTCTGACCTTCCATATTGACGAAAATGATAGGAACTGGTTTGTCGCAAGTAGGTAGAACATGTAACAGCAAATGTATCCTACAAACTTACACACTAAAAAAAAAAAAAATCAATGATCAAACAATTGCATCTATATTAAATTGATGTATTTCATATATCTGATATATTGATTTGATATGCCCATATTGATACATCCAAAAAACAAAGAAAAGAACAAAACTAATTCTTCAGTCCTTTTTAATTAACTCAAGATTAAGTATTTTTAAAATTCTAAATCTTGCTTATATTGGGTGAAAATTGAGAGTGAAAGTAAGTTCAAATAGATGGAAGGTCTTAATTCTGGAATATACTGGTAATTTTGCTCAGTATTATGAATCACTATAAATCTTCCTGAATCATTCATTCTACAAAGTAATTCTGCCAAGAAGGAAGGAAAAATATCCCAAGAACTTATTTCTCAAAAGTTTACTTAAAATCATATTCTCCTAGAGTCCAGATATGACAAGACACTATGAATGTTGCAAGGCAAAGAGTATGTAATGTCCTCATCATATTCCTCACATGATTTAGAAAGTTAAGTGTTCAAGAATATTTGTTTTCACAAAGCGATGTTAGTGTTAAAGTTTCAAGATCAGTTCACCACTGTCCAAACACTTGTTGAAATGAGTCCTCTTATTTTACTAAAGCAATTTCAACAGTTCAAATTCCTCCACATCATTCAGCAATTTCATA